TAAATGTGCTTACAGAAAAGGTAAATATAAAGAAAAGTAAATGTGCTTACAAAAAGGTAAATATAAAGAAAAGTAAATGTGCTTACAAAAAGGTAAATATAAAGAAAAGTAAATGTGCTTACAAAAAAGGTAAATATAAAGAAAAGCGAACGACACGAACCTGTGATAATTTCTGTTTTTGACAGACAAAACATTGTCACCATCAGTAACATGAAGGCATAGCATATTTCAGCAGTATAGGTGGCCATCTCCTGCAAAATATATAAAATTATATTATTAAACTTGAGCGGTTTAACCGTACGTACACATGAATGTTGATAAACTAAAGTTAATTTCTTAAAGAAGAAAGTTATTACTGAATATCTTAACATCTAGTTAATGGCGTGTAAAATATTAATTTCACGCGGTTGAGAAACACTTGCTAATATAAATACCTGATTATTCACTAAATGACTGGAACTGTATTAATCACACATCATGGTTCTTCCATTCGTCAGTACAAAACCTTTAGTTTCAAATATATGTATTCATAACAAGTAAGTGATCATATTATAACCTATATCAAATAAAAGTTAAAAGCAGAAAGTAGGTTTTTCTATGAATGTAAATAAAATAACGACCCATACTTCTAAAACGTGTCTTTATTAGCTCAGTATATCGCTGTTACAGCTTCGTCAGGAGCTATCGATATCCTAAAAGTTGGAACTAAATTGGAACGACGTCTAAAAGGTTCAGATCAAAAAATAATATTGTTATGTCTGTTCGTTTGTTAATTTCCCGTATAATTTCTTTCCGGTGAAACTTTAGCGATACAAGTCCTTTCTTAAATAAAACTGGTTTATTATTTCTCAATACAACTTTGCAATACACTTAATTTCCACAGTCACTTTAACTTCAACACACGCTATAATTCACAATGATTTACACACTTTACTTACGGCTTGACTCAATCATCTGTCTATATCTTCAATCTCTCTGTCTGCTATTCCAGTTCGGATTAATTGTCTCGCTTTATCTGGTGCGCTTACATACAAGAATAGAGGGCGCCTAGAATGCACTAGCCTCTTCAGGAATCTTATAGATACTCATTACGTGTTACCACAGTCACGTGACTTTCGCTGTCGTAACAATATCAAACATTATTACGGTTGCTATTTCCAAGCTGGCGAAACATTATAACTAGGGACTAAGTGAAAACTGTAATGTTAAAATATAATAGGCCTAATAATAATGTCTTATGACAAGTTTAATTAATTAAAATCATGCTTCGCCAGCTTGAAAAAAGGCGTTAATACTATAATAATTGTTTTGGCAAGAAATGGCTTATGTGAATAGCCAGTGTGGTTTGTTGTGTACCAGCAGACCTGATGAACTATGGATTGAGCGAATCGCGTCGTGGCGAACATATGAGGTTGAAATACTGTTATTGGGCACTTCTCTAATTCTTTTAAAATCCCTGAGGGACTAGATAAATAATGTAGTGCTGAAATATTTAATAGACTTGCTATTAATATCTTATGACTAGTAATTCATATGAACCATTGTTGAATTTATAATATGTGTAAATCAACAGGTAAACTGTTAAAGTAACAGGATACGTTACGTATACAAAATAAATCTATACGTATTTTTAAAGATATCTATATCATTTCATATTATTATTATTTCCTCGAAAGGGAGCCGAAGGCCACCTGGAGGAGTCACCTGTTTTAACCACTCGCACCATTATACAGTAGTGTGTTGTCTGTCAGTAAGTCAGAAGACACTAAAATAATGTCACCTAAAGGACTCTTAACGTTGCAATTTGTACTGTCGTGACGTCAGTAAAACGTGCGCATGCCATGAATCACGAGAAGAATTATGCACTCTGTGGGCTATAACACAGCATGCCATATGAACTTCAAAAGCAATAGATAAAAATATTTCTTTTAATTTTGGTTTTATTTACTCTTGAAACAGAACACTCGAGAACTCTGCAGAAGTACGTCTAGTATATATATATATATATATATATTTAGCAATGTCAAAAATATATTTTAGCTACGTTAAAAATCTATAGACTTCGTCAACATTTAAGCTAAACTCTCGGTGGATCATCGCTTACCTGTATTTTTCGGCTACAGCTAATACAACACGGTATTCTGAACAATTGAAACTAAGTTCGTAGTACAAGTGCTTGCACCGTTGTTTGAATCCTGTCTTTATATACAGAGCAAGTGATTGATTGGTTTAGATATTACTGCATGAATGGGTCACACTAAAACTTGACCCAATGACCCTTGGAGTCTAAGGTGACATATGAACTGTTAGTCAAAGATTTTCGCTCACTCTGTCCAATTTTCCGTGTTCATTCAACTTTTAATGAAGCGAGGGTTTTTTGTGTTATTAACCTACGCGCTAGAGCAAGACGTTGTGTTGGTAATACAGCAATTAACTTTGTAGTTTACTCTGATATATTGATTTCTTTTTTCCGGCTTCCTAAGTAAAGTTGATGGCAAATTCAAGACGATCCACTACTGATTTTTTAGACTAGCGATCGGGTGGTTTAGAGAAGCTATGATTGGATTGGCTACACGTGGATCTGTATACAAGACGATCCACCAACTAACCAGACATCTTTATTAATTAAACAAGAAGGTAAGGACAGTTTCCAAGCTATCGTATGGAAACAATTATTTTACTCAGTCAAATTTTATCTTAGCTTGAAACATAAAATACTAAATCTTACTAATATCTGTAGTGTTTGCTTTTTAAATTACGCGCAAAGCTACACGAACGATATCTGCGCTAGCCGTCCTAACTTAGCAGTGTAAGACAAGAGGGAAGGCAGCTAGTCATCACCACCCACCGCCAACTCTTGGGCTACCAACGAATAGTGGGATTGACCATCACATTATAACGCTGAAAGGGGATTCGAACCCGCGATCCTCAGATTGCGAGTCGAGCGCCTTAACCACCTGGCCATGCCGGGGCCCTAGTGTTTAATAAAAAAGAAAGTGTTATAATACAGAGTAGTGTTATAATACAGTTATAATACTGTAGAGAAGGTCGTGACGTGAGGGGTTTGTTGCTATAGAGAAAGGTCCTGTCCATCTCGGGGAATCAAACGGACAATATGGCTTCGTTTGAAATCAGAAGAATTAAAGAAAACAAGCGATAATTACATATAACAAATATTTTAATCATTATTCAGGTTCACAATTCTGAAATAGACAACTGACCAATCAGCGGGAACCAACACAGGATAATCAAATTATCTATTTATTCAGTAAATAGAAAAGCCTAAATGTAAAGTATCAAATAACTTATACGGGTAAAAACAAAAATATGTATGGCGCTGCTTGGTGAGTTGCCAAACAAGAATGTTTCGTTGATGAACTAGTTAGATCAAACATTTGATGATATTGATTTAACAAGATACTTGTCTATGTCACGGTGCAGCGATAACATCGTCATTGAAGTCTTTTGTGTGTATGTACGTATTTCTGTTGGTTAAGAAAAGCTTTCTCTCCACCGTGGGTATCGAAACCCGCTTTTTTAGCATTATAAATTCTCACATTGAGCCACCAGGGGGACTTTTTTCGGTACTGTTTTAGGTATCTCTTATTATACGGGCAGGTTGTTTCCCCAACAAACTGTTTTTCTGTCAAATACAGTACCTCTAGCTACCTAACTGGGGGTGGTAACCCTCCACACACCCTGGTAGATACGACCCCGACTGTAGGTTACAGTTTTGTTCTACTGTTTATTTTCACTACCATTATCATTAAATGTTTCAATCGTTCATCGTCTGGTCTAGTGGATAATATCATGAATTCGTAAGCCACTCAGCATTTATGTTACATTTTCTGCCCCAACAGCGAGGCAACAGAAAGATTAAAGGCGACCACACCGTACCTGAGGAACTAACTTTTTAACTACTATAACGACACATCCGATTTATAATATATGTTGGAATATACTAAAAAAAATTTAAACACATCTTTTGACTTTTCTAGGCGTTCTATGACCTCTAGCTAACAAATTACATTAAAAGTATAGCTTAGAACAGTGGCATATTAGGTGTTGAGTAATATTACAAGATATCGGCATTATTTAACATCCAATGCCATAAAATACGTAAAATACAAAGATACATTATTTGACTTGCATGATAAATTCAGAGACATTGAAAAAAGAAGGTGTAGAATGGGTTGGATATTGTTACTACAGCGGAAGTCACGTGACGCTAGTAACGAGTCATGAGATTCTAGAAGGATCGTGACTGTTGGTGGCAGCTCTAGTCCTTCCTACGCGCCCTCTATTTTAGTATATATAAGCCCAGCAAATAAAGAGGAGGGGAGAAGTGACGGCATAGAGAATTGCAGACGAACAATTGAGTCAAGCGCGGTAGTGACCGTAAGTAAAGTGCGTGAATCGTTGTGAATTATAGCGTGTGTTGAAGTTAAAGTGACTGTGGAAATTAAGTATATTCAAAGTTGTATTGAGAAAGAATAAACTAGTTTTATTTAAGAAAGGACTTGTGTCGCTGAAGTTTCATCCGAAAGAAATTATACGGGAAATTATCAAACGACCAGGGACGTAACAATATGTTTTAAGTCACGTGAAATTGGTCACTACATTCTAAAATGACTGAAATATGATAATTCAAACTGGATTAAAGTAACACTTGGAAGGGTCACTATATCTCGTTCCTTCAATATCATTTGTAAGTTATACCTTCAATGTTACAAACTTTCACTGCCTTTTGTAACGGAATGTGTATTTTATAGTTTGTATTCGTAAGCTTTCATCTTTTTAAATATCATCTTAAGAAAATGTGATACAACACTAGAATACATAATTAATGTGATACAACACTAGAATACATAATTAATGTGATACAACACTAGAATACATAATTAATGTGATACAACACTAGAATACATAATTAATGTGATACAACACTAGAATGCATAATTAAAGTCGAAACTTTTCTATTACTTTCTTTCTGATCAAGATTTATATGTAGTTTGACTTATTAGGTCCAGGTGGTTAGGGTGCTCGACTCGCAATCTGCGGGTCGCAGGTTCGATTCCCCGTCACACCAAACATGCTCGCCCTTTCAGCCGTGGAGGCGTTATAACGTGACGGTCAATCCCACTATTCGTTGATAAAAGAGTAACCCAAGAGTTGGCGGTGAGTGGTGATGACTAGCTGCCTTCTCTCTAGTCTTACACTGCTAAATTAGGGAC